TTCTGAACCCCCCAAAGAAATTTTTTTTTAACAACTCACTACAACAGAGATCAAGATTTAACCCTTCTGAACCCCCCATAAGAATTGTTTTTTTTCTTAACAACTCACTACAACAGAGATCAAGATTTTAGGAAGATCTTGCCAGTCTGGAGCCACATACATCAACGGAAGAACTCACACAATACAACAGTTTGGTGTGGCAGCGGGTAGTCTATCTGATGACTGAAGACTTATTGTCAACGAATTATCTCGGTACCGTTGTGTGTTTTAGCCATGGTGGTTGGTGTAACACAATTGTAAAAAGTTGTATTGATGAATGAAGACTTTAATTGTTAAGATATTAGGTCGCCATCGCTATGTGTTTTTTGCTGTGATAATTGTAATACAGTTGTAAATAGTTGTTATGATGAATGAAGACTTTTATTGTAACGTTAAACACAGTTGTAAAAAGATGTATGATGAATGAAGACGTTTTAAAGTCAACACAATAAGTCGCCACTGCTGTGTGTTCTTGCTGTGATAGTTGTAACAGAGTTGTAAAAAAGTTTGACTGAGGACTTGTTGTCAACGTATTAAGTCGCCACCGTAGTGTGTTTTTGCCATGGTGGTTGTAACAGGGTTGAAAAAAAGTTGTAACTTAACGACAGCCTTTTCTATTGCCTGTTTTATTATTGCTGATGATGAACAGAAATTAATGTCTTTTATCCATTGCGTAATCATTGTTGTTACTATTAGTCTCATCATTATCATTTTGTCATGATCATCATCACCATCATTATTAATTATATTGTATTATCATTAGTGTTTATCATTATCATTATTATTTGCCATTTTCAGTACTATATTATCATATCATTATTATCATCATTATTATCATTATTATTATATTATTATTATTATTATGATCAATGATGTTATTTTGTTTGTGTTGTTATTGCTATTGTTATAGTTATTATCATCTATATTATTACCATTATTAAGATAGTAAATATTATTATCACATCATTATATTTGTGTTAAAATTATTATCTTTTTTGTTAATATAATCATGATTATTGTTATTATTATCATCATCACCATTGTTATTATCATTAGTTTATCATTATTACTATAATCATTACCATTTTTGTTATGATAATAATAATAATAATAAAAATAATTAATAATATTATTATCATTATCACTATTACTGTTATCCTTATTATTGTTACTATGATTATTATTGATATTATCATTATCATTATTGCCATTATTATTATCTTTATTATCATTATTATTATTATCATGATCATCATTATGATTATCATTATCATGATTATTACTATAAACATTCTTTTTAACATCATCATCATAATGAATATTATGACCATTATCATTACCATTATTGTTATTATTTTTATCATTATTTTTATCAGTATCAATACCATAAATAATGCTGCAATCATAATCATTATTACCATAAATAATGCTGCAATCATTATTATTATTACCATAAAATAATGCTGCAATCATTATTATCATTACCATAGATAATGCTGCAATCATTATTTTTTATTATTACCATAATAATGCTTGCAATCATTATTATTATTACCATCACTCAAAAGCGAAAGAACGAGAGAAAGAAAGAAAACGAGCGAGAGTGTTGCAAGAGACCGACAATTAACCAAAGAAACACGATACACTTAACTCCCAAAAAGACTTTCGAAAATTGTAATTGAAAACAAATTGATCTGTCTGCTAATCTGAAACTGAAAATAGTGATAGAGGCTCACTATAGATGTTGAACTGTTGTTTATTTTGTTATTCCTCGTTTTTCTATGTTGTGAGTTCCAATTTCCCATGTATGACTGTTGTTTTTTTCTTCTTTTTTCGACATAGGCCTAGATTCATGATAAATTAGAGGATTTTCACACGTTTCACAAAAATTAGGCTTAAATGATGCTTATGTTTTCACACAATGCTTTTGACAGCTAATGATCTTGACCAATATCAAGCTATAATTGATGTTGTTGACAGTGAATGATTTGACATTCAGCCGCTTGACAATTGAAAGTCTAACAACACCAATACGAAACTCGAATTAATAATGTTTTCGACAGTTCATTATTTGACAGAGTATTCACCTATGAGAAGCATTATTAGATGCATTTGGTTGTTGATGATTGGCAAGCATCGAGCTCTAATCAAAGAGTTAGTTATTTGACAACTAATCCGCCAACACCATTCCCTACTTAATGGCTGGCAATTAATTAATTTGACAGCCATGGAAATGTGTCAAAGTCAGCTCAGAAGCCAGTGATACTTTTTGCCTCCTGACAAGACGATAATATTCCTGGAGGCTTTGGATATTAATAAAGGTGCTGTCACACTAGCACTTTTTCCGTCAATTTTTTGACAATTTTCTGAAATTTTCTCCATTTTTGAGCGAATTGTCGATTCTCCAGTCAGACGATAATGATCGTTTCTGTCTGAAAACCTTAACGTCAACTTTTTCAGCCAAAATAGTCAAATCAAGAGCTATATTCGAGAATGTTTGTATTTATGTTAAATAAAATTGTCAAAAAATTGACGGAAAAAGTACTAGTGTGACATGGGCTTAAGAGAACCTGTTAATTGCTGGATACTGTTATTGTTGTTATCGTTATAGTTATTTTATCCCGTTCGCTGTCATTATATCCACATGTCATATAACTATCAACACCCATTGTTTTGTTTTAGATTAGTACCAATATTAGTAGTTCTGGTGAGGACGATGAGAGAAGTAGTAGTACTATTATTCTTACCAAGTATTAATTTAACACTTTGATGCATTTTCGTTTGTTTGTTATCACGTTCAATGACTGTATTTGTGTGAAGGTATACCGTATATTTTGTTAGGACTTTCGTGTACATATTTGCCGAGTAAAGTATTTGTAAAAAGGTCTTGCCAAGGCTCTCACGGCTATTTTATAGATGAAAATGTATGCTAACTTCCCTTAGAGTTTATGGTATCGAAACTATCGTCAATTATTAGCTGATAAAAGATCAATAGTTAAATCCGATAGCTGGCTTGGCTTGGGCGTGTCATTTGTCAGATTCGAAAATATACCATGCTAAAATATGGTTATTCTCTCTTCCATGCCTCCACTCGCCCCAAAGTCAAATTGAGGAGACACCTGCAAGAGCCAGCGCTCCATGCATCCCAAAAGAGACAAAATGTATGAGAAAATATTCACGGCCACTATTAAAGCCGATGAGATTCATGAAACCTACGATGATGATTATTATTATTTTTGTTTCAATTCCATTTGTTACAATGGCTATTCTTTGCAGGGACACTGTTTTATTTTGCTTCTAAGTCTCCCCCTGTGTGCAAGGGAAGTTCGAGGTTACCATCCTTTGGCCGCGCGTTAGATTAAACGCAAATCAGCAAGACTGCTAGACCAACACGCTAACCGTTGCGCCAGCACAGCACAATATGATGGTTTTACGCTATGAAGCTATTCATTTGATATTTTCGCTTGAAAGACCATGGAATTAACCTAACCGAGTAAGGACTAGGAGACCCATCTTGCAGTAAAAAGAGACCAAAGAGTTGTTTGTTAGCTTCTGACCAAATTAGGGAGTAGGAGAGAGCGAAGAGAGAGAGAGAGTGAGGAGAGAGAGAGAGAGAGAGAGAGAGAGAGAGAGAGAGAGAGAGAGAGAGAGACAGAGAGAGACAGACAGAGAGATGAGAGAGAGAGAGAGAGAGAAGAGAGAGAGAGAGGACAGACAGACAGAGAGACAGACAGACAGAGACAGAGACAGACAGAGACAGACAGAGAGACAGAGACAGAGACAGAGACAGACAGACAGAGAGAGAGAGAGAGAGAGTCAAGAAACGAAGAGTAGATAAACAGACAAATAAAAATAAAAGAGAGAGTAGAAGAGTTAGATTCAGAGGTAGAGAAAAGGGGAGATTAGGGGCGTGTCCAGAGGGAGACCTAGGGCGTCACGTGTTATCTCTGGTACCTGATTGGCCATCCCAAGTACCACCTCATTGTCCTGAACCATTATTGGCTTTCTGTCCAGCTGGAGGAAAGATACTTGTGTTGGTATTTGGATAAAATATGGTATTGGAAGAAATAAAAAAAGTCAATGCTATTCCCATGTTTTTTTTTGTTTGGTCTGCGTATAAGTTTGTTTTGCTTGTTTGTGTGTGTGTGTGTGTGTGTGTGTGTGTTGTGTGTGTGTGTGTGTGTGTGTGTGTGTGTGTGTGTGTGTGTGTGTGTGTGTGTGTGTGTGTGTGTGTGTTGTGTGTGTGTGTGTTGTATGTGTGTGTGTGTGTGTGTGTGTGTGTGTGTGTGTGTGTGTGTGTGTGTGTGTGTGTGTGTGTGTGTGTGTGTGTGTGTGTGTGTGTGTGTGTGTGTAAGCGTAGGTACGCGCGCCGGACTGTGCTACGTGCCACCTTGCAAAGTTAGTGCCACACTCGGGCCACCCTTCAAAAAGTCTGGAAAGCCACTTGGGACAGAAACCTTTGTGACTCTTCAACTTTATGATGAGTTCCGAACAAAATAGCATACTCATTTACCAGTGAAGATGAGTAGTTGATAAAACGGAAATAAAAAGTTTTGCCATTTCAAGCCCAAAGGAGCATATTTTAAGACTTTAAAGTCTTTCAAAGCCAGGGAACCTGGCTTATTTACCGTTACCCCTCCCTTTTCCTAATGTCCAGGCTACACCTCTGCATACATACACAGTAACAATGCACACGCAATACGTGCATACATATACACGTACACACATTGCAATTGTATGTGCGATTTAGACCGGCGACCAATCAGGTCTCAGAAGTGCGATTGCGTCATCACACGGGGAGAACTGATCACGTGTGAATCACGAGCCCGAGTATATCAATAAGAAAATGAGCTCCTATTATTTTTGCCGTCGAGGCACGAGCTAAAAGTCTCCAATCATCCCACAAAACCGCAACTGATAAGATATGACAGGATGTTGTAAAAATAGCCACGAGATGTTCCTACTGGCGACACCTGGTAGGTCCGGCAGGAGGAGCAGTGTTGCCATCGCGGCGCCGAGAGCCTCAGAGGCCGCCGTGATCTCGCGGAAGGAATACGCTTCGCTCTGCCAACTCCCGAGGAAATCGCTTCGTCCTTTTCGAAATGGCCGTCGCAGGACCCCGCACGCTCAACCTCGTCAGACAGAATCAGGCCTCGATCCAGCATGTCTGCTCGAGGGCCAGGTAAGATACCGGCTTTGGAAACGTAGAGTTGAAATCGAAATGAAAAGATCTAGAAAACCGGCTTCAACATCGATCCCAAGGGCGTGAGGAGGTCGTGGGTATATAAATATGGTCCTTTTAGCCTCAAATACGCACCTGTAGGACTAGGCCTCTATGGCACAGGGGAGAGGCCTTCGGTGGGCGATGAGAAGAACAGGTAAATAGGTTGTCATAAAGGGGGAGAGGAAGGAATCGATTTTTCAAGGTACGAGTTGCATATTTCAGGCAATGTGTTCTCGGGCAATGCAGGCTGTCAGAGCGCGTGATATGTCATTGTCATATGCCATTCGTACATTTCCAAACCGAGTATGGTTATCTGTTGGTCGTTTTAGGAATGTGAAACACTTCCCTGGGTAATGAAGTCCGGTTGATCTTCATTGCAATGGAAAATTCCCCTAATCTACCTGCCGGTAAAAGTCGGAACAAAGAGAGGTCTCTCATGTGGTGCAGATATGCTGATCTATCAAGATGAGGCATTGAAACAGATTTATTTTGCACACTTGTCCAATTGCCAGCTGTTTATTGGCAGTGGCAAGTCCAGGTACAGGTCCACAACAGTGTAGAGAATGTACCCTTGCCAGTTTATGTAATAAGATTTGCAGGCTCAGCTGTACTGGGAAAAGACCTCTTGGCATCTCTCCTGTAGGATTGTGATGCAATATTTAACTGCTATGTTGCACTGCAGCTACATCTGATGTTGAAGGGATTGACAGCTGTACATACACTCATTTGATATGAATGATTATGGTAAAATCAAATGTAGGTAGAATATTAGTCTTGCAGCATGCATGTCGTGACTCAGACTTTAGTGATATCTTAGTGATACGAAATTGACAGTATGTGTTACCTTTTCAATTTGCACACTGCCACTAGGAACGTGTAATCCCCTGTGCAGTTTTTTTTGTGAATTGTCACTACACAGAGATAGACAAGTGTTCAGCGAAAAGCAGTTGATTAGTAGGCCTTCATGACCTCGCCTGATTTCCCCTTTCTTGAGTCCATAGATTTTTTTTGCTAATACTATTTATATTATTACGATGATATTTATAGTGACTTATCATGTTATCAACAATATGAATGGATAATCTTTCCTAGTATCATTCATCAGTTGCTAAGCAATTGTGAAACCATCTATTTGAATATACAATACGTAAACAAATATCAGAGTGGAAATGATATGTACATAAATGCATCCTAATCGGCAGTGGATTGATATTATATCTTAAATGCTGATTTTATAGTATACCGTCTCATTTCTTCTTTGAGATGAGAGAATTAAAACGTAGTAACTTCTTGACAGTTCTTGGTGGTCTGGGGTGGAGATGGGACCCCCAGATGCCATCTTGGGTGTTACTGAGGCATTCAAGCGTGACACGAACCCCAAGAAGATGAATCTGGGTGTTGGTGCCTACCGCGACGATAACGGCAAGCCTTTCGTCCTTCCATCCGTGAGGAAGGTGAGTAAGGATTGTCAGTGTTTTGTTTTGTTTATTTTTTATTTTGATTGTTTAATTAGTTATTTTTCCTTTTTTTTATAGAAAAGTTCTTATGTTATCATTTATTTTATTTCATTATCAAATTTATCATACTTTGAAAGATCTGTTGATATTATCATACTTTTATTACAGCATACATAGTTTTAAGGGATGTGAGCATTTGACTCCAATTTTTTCATTTGTAAAATTATTCCATGCTTGTGCAAACACAGTAGGAAGATAATAATCGCATGGTCAAAATTATATTGCCAATAAGTCTCCTAATTATTTCCTAGTGTTCATAATCCCCCCCCCCCTTCCCCTGCCAATAAAAAGTAATGATAATGCAAAGTAATTGTAATTTGTAGCATGATGCTCTATAGTCTATTTTTACCCTTACTATTATTAAATGTTCCAAATTTGAAGTCCCAAAGACCAATTTTTTTTTTTTTTTTTTTTTTTTTTTTTTTTTTTTTTTTTTTTTTTGTTCATAAAGTTGTATTATATCAAAATAAGGATCCAATCAATATGCATAATAATTATTGTATTTTTTTTTTCTTTTCCAGGCTGAGGAGCTGATTGTGAGCCAAAAGTTAGACAAGGAGTACTTGCCCATCTCTGGCAGTGCCGAGTTCTGCAAGCACGCCATTACCTTGGCTCTCGGGAGTGACAGCCCAGTTGTTGCTGATGGACTGGTTGGTTTTCAACGTGGTCTTTTGTTTATAGGCCTTACGTCTGATGGGTAGTCTGTGATCTAGGGCAAAAGATACTTTTTTTTTTTTTTTATATTACTGTTTACTTGTTTGGGGAATAGGAGAATGGAAGGTAAATAGTAGGGTGGGACACTAAATGATCTTGGAAGACAAATAGAAATGTTGAGAATTTACAAACTAGTATATAATTCTTGTGTGTTCCTTTTTCCAGAATGTAACAGTTCAAGGTATTTCTGGTACTGGCGCTCTCCGCATCGGCTCCACCTTCCTCTCAAAGTTCTTCCCAGGTCCAAAGGTAGGAAGTTTGTTAGTTTTGCACTTAAGTAATATTCATATTCTAGAGATATAAATCATCTTAAGGGATTCTCTCTCTTAGCTGTAAGCAATAGTTCTCTCTCTCTCTCTCCTGTAAGCAATAGTAACTGCGGCTCTTCTCATCTATCTCTCTCTCTCTCTCTCTTATCTCTCTTCTCATCTCTTCATCTCTCCTGCTCTTCATTCTCTATCGATCTCTCTCTCTCTCATCTCTCTCTCTCGGCCTTGTTCTCTCTGCCTGTATCTCTCTCTGTCTCTCTCTCTTTCTGTCCTAGTCTGTCTCTTTGTCTGCTCCTTGTCTCTTCTGCCTAGTAGCTACACTCTCTCTCCTCTTCTCTCAAACAGCACACTCTCTCTCTTCTCTCTCTCCTCTCTCCACTCTCCTCTCCTCTCCTCTCTCTCTCTCTCTCTCTCTCTCTCTCTCTCTCTCTCTTATCTCTCTCTCTCTCTCTCTCTCTCTCTCTCCCTCTCCCTCTCCCTCTCCCTCTCCCTCTCCCCTCTCCCTCTCCCTCTCGCCTTCCCTCCTCCCTCTCCCTCTCCCTCTCCCTCTCGCCATCTCCCCTCCTCCCTCTCCCCCTGTCCTGTCCCCTGTCCTCTCTCCTCTGCCCTGTCCTCTCTCCCTCTCCCTGTACCTCTCTCCTCTCCCTCTCTCCCTCTCTCCTGTCCCTCTCTACTCCCTCTTTCCCTGTCCCCTCTCCCTCTCCTGTCCTCACTCTCACTCTTCTCCCTGTCCCTCTCTCCTCTCGCCTGTCCCCTCTACTCCCTCTCCTGTCCATCTCTCCTCCCTGTCACCTCTCTCCTCTCCTGTCCCTCTCTCCTCTCTCTCTCATCCCTCGCCCTCTTCCTCTCCCTGATCCCCTCTTCCCTCTCCGTCTCTCCGTCCCTTGTCCCTGGTCCCTCTCTCCGCTCTTCCCTCTCCCTGTCCCTCTCTCCCTCTCACCTCTCTCCTAGTCCTCTTCCTCTCCTCTTTCCCTGTCCTCTCTCCCTCTCCCTCTCCCTGTCCCTCTCTCCCTCTCCCTCCTCCTGTCCCTCTCTCTCTCTCCTGTCCCTTCTCTGCCTCTTCCCTGTCCCTCTCTCCCTCCTCCCTGCCCTCTCTCCCTCTCCCTGTCCCCTCTCTCCCTCTCCCTGTCCCTCTCTCCATGTCCCTGGTCCCTCTCTCATCCTCTCCTTGGTCCCTCTCTCCCCTCCCTGTCCTCTCTCCCCTCTCATTCACCTGCCCTCTCCATCCCTCTCTCCTGTCCCCTCTCCTCCCTCCTCCCTGTCCCCTCTCTCCCTGTCTCCCTGTCCTCTCCCTCTCTCCTGTCCCTCTCCCTTCCCTGTCTCCCTCTCCCTCTCCTGTCCCCTCTGCCTCCCTCTCCCTCTCCCTGTCCTCTCCTGTCCCGTCTCTCCCTCTCCCTCTCCCTGTTCCCTCTCTCCTCTCCTGTCCCTGTCCCTCTCATCCCTCCGCATCTCTCCCTGTCTATCCCTCTGTCCCTCTCCTCCTGTCCCTCTCCCTCCCTCCCTCTCTCCTGTCCCCTCTCTCCCCTCGAACTCTGTCCTGTCCCTCCTCCTCCCTCTCCCTCTCCCTGTCCTCTCTCCCTCTCCTCTTCCATGCCCCTCTCTCCCTCTCCCTCTTCGCCTGTCCCTCTTCCTCTCCACTCTCCCTGTCCCTCTCTCCCTCCTCCCCTCTCCCTGTCCTCTCTCTCCCTCTCCCTCTCCCTGTCGCTCTCTCCTCTCTCCTCTCCCTGTCGCTCTCTCCTCTCCCCTCTCCCTGTCCTTCTCTCCCTCTCACCGTCCTGTCCCTCTCTCCCCTTCTCTGTCCCTCCCTGTTCCCTCTCTCTCCCTGTCCCTGTCCCTCTCTGTCTCTTCCTGTCTATTTCTGTCTCTTATCCTGTCTTATTTCTGTATCTACTTCCCTGTCTATTTCTTGTCTCTTCTGTCTATTATCGTCTATCTTCCTGTCTATTTCTGTCTCTTCCCTTGTCTATTTAATGTCTCTTCCTAGTCTATTTCTGTCTCTCCCGTCCATATTTCTGTCTCTCCTGTCCTATTTCTGTCTCTCCCTGTCTATTCTGTCTCTCCCTCTCCCTCTCCCTGTCCCTCTCCCTCTCCCTCTCCCTGTCCCTCTCTCCCTCTCCCTGTCCCTCTCTCTCTCTTCTCTCCCTCCCTCTCTCTCATCTCTCTTCCTGTCCCTCTCTCATCTTCTTTTCTGTCCCTCCTCTCTCTCTCTCTTTCTGTCTCTCTGTCTCTTCTCTTCTCTCTCTCCTCTCCTTCCTCTCTATCCCCTCTCCTGGAAGCAATAGTTCTTCCCCCCCTGTCTCTTGGTCTGTATCTGTTCTCTCTCTGTGTGTGTCTGTCTCTGTCTCTTCCCACCCTCCTCCTCTCTCTTCTTCTCTTCTCCCACCCTCCCTCCTCTCTCCTTCCTCCCTCCCTCTCTCCCTCCTCTCCCCCCCCCCTTTCACTTTCTACTCTCTCTCTCTCTTTCCCCTCCTCTTTGTAAGCAAAGTCTTTTAGTGTGCAATTCTTTTTCTTGTCCCCTAGAATGTATGGCTGCCAGCACCAACTTGGGGCAACCATGTTCCCATCTTCAAACATGTCAATATGGATGTCAATCAGTACAGATACTACGACCCAAAGACCTGTGGATTCGACTTCAATGGCGCAATAGAGGACATTTCTGTGAGTATCATTGCTATGAATGTCGTGCTTGTTACCTTTTGTGCATAAATAAAGTGTGCTTAAAGTTTCGAAATGGCTGCAGTCAGTATTGGATTTTGTTATACTAGTAATAGATTCTTCAGAAGATGCCTTTTTATTTCAGAAAATCCCTAAGGGTAGTTTGATCATGCTTCACGCCTGTGCTCACAACCCCACTGGTGTAGACCCCAAAGCAGAGCAGTGGGATGAAATGAGCAAGGTCATCAAGGAGAGAGAGCTGCTTCCCTTCTTCGACATGGCATATCAAGTAAGAAAAAAAGTAGAATTTATTTCTAATAGTTTTTTTGTTTTTTTTTATGTCAGTTGTTCATTACTTTATGAATTTTCTAAGAATTGTAGAATTATAACATAGTATTAAGTATTTTACAATGGGAATTTAAAAGGAGTTAGTATCATTTTATGGTCATTCTGTGACCTACTTGTACAACACATGGCATGGAAAATATCACCATCAAATTTTTACTTCCATTCTAGGGATTTGCCTCAGGAGATGTAGCCAAGGATGCATATGCTGTGCGCAAGTTCTTAGCTGATGGCCATAAGATCTGCCTTTCCCAGTCTTTCTCCAAGAATATGGGATTGTATGGTAAGGAAAATAAATGCTCTACATTCCCATAGATTTTTAGGTCTTATGTACATTCTCACTTAATGGTAATACATAGTTTTGAAGATGTGTATTTGGTATAAAATCTCACCATCCTGAAAGCCTTGCTTTTATTTACTTATCTATATATATATAAACCTCTATTATTTTTACATATGTTTCCCAGCCTTTAGAACAGGAGATATGTTTTAAAGCTTGCTTGTAAACCGCAGTTTATATATATAAAGATCCTCCCCCCACCCTTTTTCCAGTTTTATTTCTTCTATACTTATGTAACATTATCCCCCCACCAGTTCTTCACTCAGCATTTACTGAAGACCAAAACATACCACATTGAAATAATTTCCCAACAGGTGAGAGAGCTGGTGCATTTTCAATTGTATGCAGTGACAAAGATGAAGCCGCCCGTGTTATGTCGCAGGTGAAGATCTTGATCCGACCCCTTTACTCCAACCCACCTCTCCATGGTGCTCGCATTGTGTCCACTATCCTTAGTAATCCAGAACTGAAGTGAGTGTTTTTAATTTCATTCACCTTATTTTTTAAAATTTGATTATTAGTCTGTAGTGATATTCTTGTTACATTCTCACAAAATTATCCATTGGCTGTTACTTTTAAATGTATATAAAGTATAAATTAGTTTTCTTTTAGAAAACAAGAAGTCATAACACTTCTTTCCTCCACTTTTAACAGTTCTATTTGGCTGAAGGATGTCAAGGGCATGGCTGACAGAATCATTAACATGCGTACCAAGTTGAAGGAAAACCTTGCCAAGGAAGGATCCATTAGGGACTGGAGTCACATCACTGACCAGATCGGCATGTTCTGCTTCACTGGCATGACCCCAGACCAGGTGAAATTCTAGTTTTTCATCCCGAAATATCATGCAGCATAATACCGCAATGATTTATCTGCATTGCTTAAAAATCTTCACATTATATTGAACATTGGGGGAGAGTGTTTTAGTAGTACTGTACATATAGATAGTCAATTAAGGACTTCTTTTCTCCATTTTCAGGTTGAGAAGCTGACAAAGGAGTTTTCTGTGTACCTGACAAAGGATGGACGTATCTCAGTTGCTGGTATTGCTTCCAGTAATGTTGAATACTTGGCTCATGCAATGCACCATGCCACTAAATAAAAATAAAAGTTCTCAGATTTAGATCTATTTATTGGGAGTGTGAAATGGGACTTTTTTTTACATTTAAATATCACTGTGAAATGGTATAGCATACAGCCAATGTTAGGACACACATTTTAAACTTCAAATGGTTATTTCCTGTGCTTAACATTGCTGCTATCATGATTTAAAAGAAGTGCACTGCTTTTCTTGACATTTAAAGCTTTGCTGCAATGATTATTGATAATCAGAGGCATAATGGAAATTTGTTCATATGGTAAAGCAGACAAAAGATAGTAATGAGACTTTAGAGTTGTCCTCCTCCCTGAATCTGTATATTTCTGTAGATAAGTCAACCCCCCACAATTTTATATTAAATTAAACCCAGAGAGATTAAAGACAATGTTTGCTTTATTTGAAGGTGTAATTCATTTCTGATATTTAAAATCAATTATTTTGGTGTATATACATCCTGTGTCCCTGCCATTGCAGGTACTATTCCATGTACACAATAAACATTATAATCTTTTCATCTCTTTTCTTATTCCTCTGAACTTTCCAGATTTTCTAGTGCTACCATTATTAATTCTATTTTGCATTGTGTGAATACTGAATGAAAAACGGTTTTCTTAGACTTTCTTTTTTCATCTTTAACATACAAGTACATAAATATTTACAATACAATTTACAATTCTTGATGCTTTACAATGAATTTCAGCATTGCTCATTTTGACATATTACTATAACAAAAAAAATCTTCAATTTTCCTACTTATTTCTCTGCAAAGGAAATTGATGGCTGTGAAAAATTGTGTAAATTTTCATCAAACAATTCTTCATCAATATTCACTTCATCCTGGAAAAGAGTTGGGAAGGGTGGAGGATTTTGTTCGCGGTGGAGCTGATGAGCAGGTAAGATGCTATCATACAGATAGACGTATGCACCTGTCGGCCCAGGTACCGCTGGCCCAGTCACCCAGAGGACATTGTAGTGTGTGTTGATACGCCATACCTGTAGGAGAGAATAATTTGGAGAGTGAGATATGGTAACTGGTGAAGGTTATCAGGACAACGTCACTGGTGAGCAACAGAAAGGTATTGCAGAATCTGGTTAAGTGTCAGGAAGGGAGGGGTTCATGTGAGCATCCAGGTGCAAGTGGTAAGGATAACTGAACAAAGAATGATGGAGATGGAGAGGACAGGGTGTGTTAAGGAAGAGGAGGAGGAGGATGGATACCAGCAAATATTTTGAATGCAGAGGAAATGGGAATAGAGGGACTGGAAAGTGGAGGATGAGGGAGTGGAAAATTCTCTTGGGTACTGTTTATGAAGTTTTGGATTCTTCAAGGGTTTCTGGAGGGGGGGGGGGGAGGTGTGAGAAACTAAGGTTTTCTTGCAAGAAGAGGAGATAGATGTCAGAGGAAGAGGAGAGGTAGAAGATAAGAGTGGAAAATGTTTAGGTTGCCTGATGTGACGAGGAGGGGGGGGGTGGGGTGGGTAGAGGTAGGCAGGGCGGAAGTATTACAGATCCGAGTATCTGGATTTTGACTGGGAGAAAGAGGTAGGATGGTTTGGGGTCAAGGGAAGAGATACTGGGGGGGAAATGCCGAGATATCTTGAGAAGATGGGAAAGGAGCGGAGAAAAAACTAGTTTCTGTGCTCCTTGTCTGGTCTCACATAGAGTTAGGGCTAGTTTGAATCTGAGAAATGCTACTTCAGATTTGAGCTTATAGGCAGGGTAGCTACCACAACTGGGCAGCGGGCTGTGGAGTGATAGTGTGGCCAAAATGCCAACATTTTTAACATTGAAGAGGAAGGGGTCAATATGGTAAGACAGGGAAGGACAGTTTACCAACATAAACTTCATGGGGGAGGTCATGTTTACAGAAGCTAATCTTGGGAATACTAGTGTGGGACTTATGCTGGCCTCTGGGAGGAATTGTGCAGCAACATACTGCCACTGCATCATAATAAACTAGGCAGGAAAGTAGGTAATTTTCACTGTCTGACCAGTTCTTGTCGTACATAGGACAATCAGTTGGGGAAACAAAAACAGTTCTGATACAAGTATTAAGAGGAGTGAGGTCAGTCAGATTAGATAGTGCCCAAGCTTGGGAACTGTGGGCAAAGAAGAATTAGGGGTTGGGATGATAAAATCAAATTTAGATAGGCTAGTTGATGAAGGGGCCAGCCTTAATGCCCCTTAGAAGGGTAAGAAATTATTCATTATTGGCCATGGAGTGCCTAAAATCAGTGGGGAAAAGAAATGGTCTATCGTTCAGGGTCCCCATTAGAGGTAAGGGCTAGGCAATTAACCAAGGGAATACGAAGCCCATGGCATCCGGAGACTGTTGATGAAATACTTCAAACTAGCCTTTTAGCCTTTCAGCACAGCTCTCACACCTTAGAAAGTTGACAGAAAAAAAGGGATGAAGAGGAGAAGGGGAAGAGAAATAGGAATAGGGGAGAAGAAAAGACCCGTACGTTGGGACTCAGTCACAGTCTCCTCAGCTCCCCAAAGAGCAATCAGCAAGGAATATTTGGCAGATCTTTTTCTAGTAAAAGCAGATTATTCCAAAGAATAAGAAAAGAAAATCTTGTCACCTTCAGTCCTCTAATAACCCTTCGATTTCTGCCCATATGTCCTGGCATCTTCTGTCCCGGCCAGACTCGGGATTTTTCTCTACCAGAACCAATACTTCCTCCCCTGCGGTGACTCTTCGTTACACCATGAGATGCTGGCATACCCTTGAAGCCCCACCTCTTCATCACGCCTTGGTAACCCCGATCTATCCTGCAAAAAAGGGAAGAAAAATGAATCGCGGTTATCCTGACTATACTGCAGCAACTGGTAAATCATAGACAATTCTGTATACAAAGGGAAATTACAGCCATAAGACACTAAAAAGTATTAAAGCGAGTTTCTTTATGCTTACGTAATGCCTGCTATGTCAACGTGTGCTCCAGGCTGGAAGTGAGATGCGTACAGAGGAGTTCCAGGGGCAAGTTTGGCATTTGGAGTAATGAGAAATTTGGTTAACTTCTTTTTTGGGGGAACTCCTACCGCACTGAACAGAGTGAAGTATTCTTTTGTTATCTAGAATAAAAAGGAGAGAGAAAAAAGGCATTATTATGATATTTTAGAGTAGATATTTAAAACCTGTGGTATGCTTAATTTCTTTTTCTTTTTGTCCCACTTTGTTGCATGCAATAATTTCCTTTAACTTGAATATAGGTATTCAAGGGAAGGGGAGGCAATGCTAACCCCTCCCCAAGTTGAGTTGTGCCTTAGGTTAAAACAATACTGATAAAACTGGATAATAAACAACCTTTACATGAATTTGAAAACCTATTATATGATTTCTCAAACAGAGCAAGCAATAATTTTAGCATTTAACTCCTGTAGTTTATCAAGATGTAACATTTGCATTAGCCTGGAAACAAAATGGCAGCTGAGAAAATAGGCACGGTAATAATGATATATATAATAAAAGAAAACCATTCATCTATGCATTCCTCTAATATAACTACTAGTACTGTTTCTACCACTTCTACTAATCTGCTATGGTACTAATACTACAATTATCATTACTATTCCAGCTATTATTGCTAAGACTACTGCATCTACTATCATAATTACCACCGCAATGACTACTGCTACTGCTTGCTTCTCCTAGCAGCAGC